CTAATGCAATATGTCATTTGATTTCTTGACTGGTGCTTCTTGTCAACTTCAGTCACTCTACTTAAACACTTGTAAACAATATCAATTTTTCATCCTCGAAAGCAGTACTTCCCAATCTATCCTCACCTGTAAGAAATGTATTATTTTCTCCTAGACTCCTCATTTTGAAAGATCTTGCAACTGCGCTTATTGAATAATTTCCCGATTTTTAATTAACTACCAGTCAGAATGCTTAATTAAATGAAAAAGCCATGATTCAGTTGATAAAATTAAAGCCAAAAACAACAAAATATTTTAGTCTTCTAATAAGCAAAAATTTGAGACTTTCTGAAACAATGAAAGTTTCTAACAAATCTACTAAAATTCCCTAAATTCTGAAAGCTGAGAAGTCATCTTCTACTAGAGTACTGATCATTTTGCTCATTAGTCCAGTCTTTATTTTTAACTAATAATTATGGACTCTTAAATAATCTATAATTTAAGGATAAATGCTAGGATCCCTGGGTAGATATCATATCCACAGAAAGAACTAGCAAGAATCAAATTGAGCTTAGGGTATGAATCCCAGCTAACTTCCAGAATGACCCTTGTGTAAAAGCCTAACTTCTCTTTTTTTTTATCCTTCTCAGATATATTCAATCTGGCGGAAAAAAACAGTCTGAATGAAAACTCAGCAGGGATCTCAGACAAAGCAGGAATTTTCTGGGTTGGAAAGGATGAACAAAGCGTTTAAGAATAGATGTGTGGTGCATTTTTATCTTAAAATCACAAAATTCAAGTTGTTTTGTTTTTGAAAGTTGGTAGGCTTGTTCACTGGTGCTAAATGGAACAGCTTTATTGATTGAGGATTTTGTCACCTTGACAAGGTATTCCTGAACGCAGTGAAGCCTAACTTTGGAACTGACTTGGTACTCACTTTCCCCCCTCCCACTCCAATCCTCCCTACCCATTAGATCTTTCTTCCTCTGAAATTTCAATTTGCAGGTGTCTGAATGAAAAATACTTATGGGTCACAATAACAGTGTCAACAATTTCACACGATTACTGCAGTTTAAAGCCTGAAAAATCACATTTCACTTCAAATCGCACAGCCCCCCTCACCAATTCTGCACAAATGATGTTGTAAGAAACTCAGAAATTTTTATTTCATATAAATTATTTTTAAATATCTCCTAACAATCTGAAACTTATTTGCCAAAACAGCAGCATTTTCTAAAATGCTCTGTGCTGAGATTGCAATAAAATGTCCATTCTTAGCAATTATCTTTCAAGAAGCACATTAACAGCTTGCTCCTCTGTATGAATCATCCAGGCCACTCAGGTGAATGAATAGCTTTTGTAAATTCAGAAGAGTGCCTAGGTCAGTGGATCTCAGCACTGGCTGTACAATAGAATCATCTGGGTAGCTTTTTTAAAATAACAATGTCTGGCCCTTTCTGATTAATTGATCTGAGATGGGTGTGTCTTGAAATCTGACATGGTATTTCTGAAAATCTCCAGATGATTCTAATGTGCTGATAAGAGTAAGAACAAGTAGCCTACATCAAGATGGATCCCAGCTCAACTTCCACCAACACCTGTTTCTTTTAGAGTCTTAAATTGAATTAAGAGGCTGTGAAATACACTCTCTTCAGTTCAAGAGCCAATTTAAAAAACAAGCACTTGAGCACAACCACATATTAACTAACTGTTGGTGTGGGCCACGCAGTCAATTCTGACTCAGTAACTTTTGGATCAAAGCAGTCTGTCCATAGCATTTCCTAGGTTGTAACCTTTTTAGGAATTGATCACCAGTTCTTTTCTCTGGCAAACTGCCCATACTTTGATTAGCAGTCAATGCTTAACCATAGTACCACCAGGTCTCCTTAATGTTTACACGTTGTTGTTGTGTGCCGTGGAGTCGGTTCCGACTCATAGCGACCCTGCGCATTAATCATGTTAAAACTAAGATTAACCACTCCCATTACATTACATTTTTGCTGTCAGGATAGGGTCTCCAAATAATATTGGGGCTCTTAAACTTTTAAATTTTCCAATTCTCGTATTTCAGTCCCACACTAACCTTCCAGATTATCTCCTACACCTTGGACAGCAAAAAAAAAATTTTTTTTGTCAGATCTCCTTTTTCTTGATTTTGAAAAATATCACCAGATCTACCTGGAGTGGCAACACTTTCTGTGTGTGTCCTTTTTGACTAACTTACAACCACAAGTCCCTTTCCTCCATAAAGCCTGCTCAGGTCATTTAAATTTTTTCTTAATATGAATTCAAAATCTCATCACTGTTTGGCAGTCTGGTGTGGTGCTGTAGAATAAGCACTGGAGTGTTAACCACAAGGTCAGAGGTTCAAACCCAACAGCTGCTCCTCAGAAACCCCTATACGGGGTCGCTCTGAGTCAGAATGGCACTTAACTACTTTTTAACGTTTATTCACTTTTGGGCCAGTTTTTCTAACACTGGTGACAAGAACTGCTTTGGGGATTATTTTTTGTTTTGGTATCAGTTTCCAGAACAAAAGCTCCCAATACGTTTGGTTTTCCACTACCAAATTACAGCTTTCTGGCACTCTTGTGCAGTCTCCTCAGTGAGCTTTCTCCCCAGCCCTAAAACTCCTTGTTAGCTGGCCACCAAATATCTATCATCCTACTAAGCATTCTCAGATACTACAGTTGACTCTTGAGATTCCATAAAATGCTAACAAAAAGATACATACAATATGTCTGTCCTTGGTGATTGGTTTTTGGTTGTTCTGCTTATCTTCTCTCCCCTTTTCTCGCTCCTCAAAAATCTCAGTTACATTCCTTTTGGACAACTTTCACTAATAGGTTTTCTTTCCATCCAAGTTCTCCACCTCATCTGATCCCATTCCCTCCCTAGGAGCCCACTTATAACCACTCCTTCTCTTCTAAAATGGCTCCCACAAAGTCGGGGAAAGAAGTGGGAGTTCCCCGAAGCCGCAGCCACTATCATTTTGGAGATGGTAGGAGGATGGGCTAAAAGGGGCAGGGCCAGAAGTGGGAGAGGATTAAAAGCCCAAAGTTGTGCTCCCTGATCCACGTTTCCAGTTTCTGGACCAGGGCGGGGATTACCCGTCACAGGAAGTGGGGGTCACACGCCTTAACGTCAGGGACCGGAAGTGAGCGTTGCTGGGGCGCCAGTGTGGGGCGGAGGTGATTGTGGAGACAGAGTGTCTTGACTGAGGTAGGTGAGGAGTCCTTCCCTGGTTTGGAGCCTCCGAACTCTTTAATTTCATCTTTAGTGCCTTGGATAGACCAGTCTTTTCGGTTTAATGTATCTTCACCACCTAATAACCTTCTGGCTTCTCTTTCCCGCCCATAGTTTTCCGCCTTGTGGGTTCTTTGCGTTGCTGTTGTGGCTACCGGCCTTTTCCCCTCCATCGCCCACTCGAGGGCCTGCCTAGATCCATTTTTATACTGTTTTAAGTTAACCGCTTTCCCCCACTTTCTGTTTTAGTCCTATTGCTTAAGTCGACTCTGGTTTTATTGTTTGTTTAAAAGAAGAAAACACAGAGTTTAGACTTTAGTTTAGCTTCCGGCTTCTTCCAGTCCCCCAACTTGACTACTTCACATGGTTTCTCCATTTCACCGCATTGTAATACTAAGAAAAAGATAAAGATGTAAAAGAATCACCTGTTAACAGATTCGGAAGATACTGTGCTGAAATAGACCTTGCTGAATTTTAAGGCTATGAATTCGTGCCTGTAGTCTCTTTGCCCCCAAACTATATGTTGGCACCCTACAAATTTAGGAATGTAATTCAGATTACTCCTTTAAATGATTAAAGAACATAATACTTGGTTCTTCCCTTCAAGCCTTTTATTTTTTTTGTTATTGAAGAAAGAGAAATCAACCGTATAAGTAAAGTAGTCAAAAAAGGTCAGGATTTCTCAATCCAGTCAAGAAAAAGTCACTATTTAAGACATTTTTACTAATGATTGTCATTAACATATGGGCACTGAAAGCAATTTCCTAAAACAAGAGTTCCAGCTGATCACTTGGATTTCCCATCATAGGTTCCAAGGTTGCTTATGTCATAGAATGGGGTGAAGGGGGGTGGAATTGTGTGAGTGGCCAAAGGTCTTTTACATTTCTGTTACAGACTTGCTTTATGGCTGTTACCTATAAAATGAACAGTGCTTAAGTTTTATTAAATTCAGAAGTTTTCTCTCCGTACACAGAGAGAATTGAGTTTTAACTGGAGAGATTTGAAATAACCAAGTCTTTAAAAACACAGGAGCTTTTCGGGGAGAGGAGGTGAAGGAAGCCTCACTGGAAAAGGGTAAAAAGGGAAAGATCATAGCACTTCTTGATCATGTTAAAGAAATGGCAAACTAAAACATCTCTAGGCTTGTTGGATGGGTTAAGTATATACTACCTGACATGTTGTTAAGTGCCGTGGAGTCAGTTCCAACTCATAGCAACCCTGTATAGGGTTTCCAAGGAGTAGCCTGTGGGTTTGAACTGCTGACCTTAGAGTTAACAGTGCTTATCCTACAGCTCCACAACAGGACACAGACCTCTAGAATTCCCAAGCTTGGTAGCTTGCCCATCCTACCCTGTATTTTTAAGAACTTGAGAGTGTTAAAATAGTACCCTGTTTCTGTGTTTATCCAAATGTTTAAATAGTATTCTTAGGGTCTTGGTTTTCCACCTCTATCATTAGCATCAACTTCTAATAATGGTAAATAGTGATCGGTTATTGTAATAGTATTTGATTTTTTTTTTTTTTTTTTTTAACTATTGGTGGATCCTAGAATTTATTCCAAGGATATGAATTAGGTAGTGATGCCAAAAAATGCTTCCAAGAAGTAAAGAATGCTTTAAAGGAGAAGAAATATTAGGGTGGAGCAGAATCTAAGGGTTTCTGATACTGAAGTTGGGTAACTTCAATTCCAGTTTGACTTCACTTCTTAGTGCTAACTTTGGAATATTTCATTTCTGATTCCCTGAACCATGGCTTTATTTTTTTCTCCTCCAGCACTTGGATTCAGCTCCTTCGTTTCCAACATGGAAGAAACTTACAGTATGTATTTCTTGTTGTTCTCAGAAAATAAGTCATTATTTACATGTAATTTTCTATCTGACAAGATGTTTGTTGTTAAGTGCTGTCCAGGAGTGACTGGTGGGTTTGAACCATAGATTTTGCAGTTAGCAGTCCAGTCTTTATCCTATAGTGCCACACCAGGCCCCCAGTAAAATGTTTAGCATGTTGGAAAATATTTAAATTTAAACTACTGAAGAGAAAAGTCTGTTGTGGTAAGGTACCCAAAACCCTGTGTTGTTGAGTCGATTGACCTCAACAATACCATACATAGGACAGAGTAGAACTGCCCCCATAGGATTTCCTAGGCTGTAAATCTTTACAGAAGCAGACTTTCATATCCTTCTCCCGAGGAAAAGCTGATCATTTTAAACCTCTGAGCTTTCGGTTCCCAGCTGAGCACTTTAACCACCAGCTGAGCTGTGCCACCAGTGCTCATTTAGTGATATACAAAAGTGCCCAAATTTAAAATAAAACACTTGAAATGTGAATTAAATAGGTATGTGAAGGCACAGAGGTTTCAGGAGTCTACTCTCAGAATGCCTGTTTTAAACTATTTTAAACGAGGCATTTTAAACTCAACACCTGTTTCTCCTTGTAAAGCATGAATATGGTAACCTCTCTATTTGGGGGATAATATAGCATATATAATAAAGTTGATGTACATTGAGTTTCTAGAGTTAAAGAAATCCTGGGAAGAGTTCTTATTTCTCAAGTGATACAGAAACCTTAGGTAGCACTGAAAATCTTAAGGGGAGCCAGCCCTGGAGTCAAACAAATGTGGAACTGAAAAAGGAACCTGAAAGTCATAACTCTCCGCTATGAATTGGAGCCCACTTGGCGATACTTAACAACAGAGGATATTTTAGCCCCAGTCTACTTTATAGGAGGAGTCCTGCTATGGGATAAAGCACTAGACCCAAGGTCAGTTTGAACCACATGGTATGGTCGGTGTTTCAAACTCACCAGCCGCTCCGCAGAAACCTTATACAGGGTCACTACACTACCAGAGTTCCTTGGAGGGCAGAGGTGGGATCTGAAATTTTATATTTCTAACAAGCTTTTAAGGAGCTCTGGTAGCGTAGTAGATACAAATCAGGCTGCTAACCTCAAGGTCAGCAGTTCGAAACTACCAGCGGTTCCACGGAAGAAAGATGAGGCATTCTCTGCTCCAGTAAAGATTTACAGCCTCGGAAATCCTGTGCAGGGTCACTATGAGTCGGAACCGACTCCACGGTACTTAACAACACCAAGCTTTTAATAATTTCCAGGTGATGCTGGTGCTTTGGCTTTAGGATTACCCTTTGAGAATCATTGCTGTATAAAAGATGATTCTCTTGGTTCTTCCTTAAGCCGCCTCCTTCAGTTTTTCTTAAAATACAAAGGGGCTTAAAAAAATCTGTGGTTCCCATGTAAACTATCACATAATTCACAATAAAACATTAAAAAAAAAAAAAAAAGATGGAATCACTATGAATTGAAATTAATTCAGTGGCACCTAACAACAGCAACAACTATGAACATGGCTTATAAATGCAAAAACATGTTTTAAAAAATAAAAAATTTGATCAATATGAAAAAAAAAAATCTGTGGCAAGGTGGAAAAAAGATGAGGCTTTCTGCTCTTGTGAAGATTTACGGCCTCAGAAACCTTACAAAGGGCTACTGTGAGTTGGAATTGACTAATAGCACACAACAACAAAGCCACAAGACAAGTTGATCTTCAGGAACTAGATTCAGGAATCAAATTAAGGTAAGAATTCTAGGTCAATTTGTGCATAAGGTCAAGTACTCTCTATCCTAAGGCTTCATTAGGTGTTAAATCACACGGGGGACTATGCTAAACTGTAGATTCCAGGTCTAGAATAGGGCCCCTGAGGTTGTGCATTTATAACAGTCCACCTAGGTTACAATTTTTCTAAGAAAAAATATTTTTTTAGGAAAAAATTGTCACTGAGAAAAGTAAAAACAGAGATTGCTTTCTAATTTAAGAAAAAATGTGAGGGGACTTCAAAAAGTTTGTGGAAAAATTCTGGGTGGTTTTTTTTTTTTTTTCTATTTTTCCACAAACTTTTATCCCCTTGTGTTTTTGTGGGTTATAATGAACCCTAGTGGCTCAGTAGATTAGCAGTTCGAATCCACCAGTCACTCTAAGGGAACAAGATGAGGTAAGCTGCTTCTGTAAAGATGTACCCTCAGAAATCCTATCCTATGGAGCACTTCTACTCAGTCCTATTAGGTCACTAGGAGTCAAGATAGACCTGATGGCAATGGGTTTTGTTTGGTTGTACAAGATGTGTATGTATATGCACAGATAAACTTGTATATGTGCCGGTGTGCAGGGGTGACACCAGCCATCTCTCCCACAGCACTCTACTCATGCTGGATTCCATAATTCATTGAATGGCCACCCAAAACTCAACACAACATAGTTAATTATGGGGTTTATTAGGGAAGTTAGCAAGTTGCAATTTAGGGTCAGAAATGTTCATAACACAGTTGTCCAGTCAGGAAGGCCTTTGCTCTGCCATGCCCAGAGCCAGGCCTCTATCTCTCTGCCTGGCCAGTTTTATAAAAACTGTTACGGACTGTGGATAAATGCCCATAGGACACACTTTGTTGTTGTTGTTAGATGCCTTCGAGTCTGTACCAACTCTTAGCGACCCTGTGCACAACAGAACGAAACACTGTCGGGTCCTGGGCCAACCTCACAATCATTGCTATGCCTGAGCCCATTGCTGCTGCCAGTGTGCCAATCTAGCTCACGGGGGATCTGCCTCTTTTTCCTCCAACTCTCCACTTTACTGAACAGGATATGTTTCTCCAGGGTCTGGTCCCTCCTGACAATATGTCCAAACTATGACAGAGGAAGTCTGGCCATCCTGGCTTCCAGAGAGCATTCTGGCTGCATTTCTTCCAACACAGATTGGCTTGTTCTTTTGGCAGTCCATGGTACTATTAATATTTGCCAACACCATAGCTCAAACACATCAATTCACTGTCCAACTTGGAATTGCATTTAAGGTAATTGAAAATATCATGACTTGGATCAGGCACACCTTAGTCCTCAAACTAAAAACACTTCAAAGAGGTATTGTGCAGCAGATTTGACTACAATATGTCATTTAATTTGATTGCTGCTTCTGTGAGTGTTGATGCTTGATCTGAGCAAAATTCAGCCTTTGTCAGCTTCAGTCTTTTCTCCATTGTTGTTTTATTGGTCTGGTGGTGAGGATTTTTGTTTTCTTTACATAGAGATGCAACCCATACCGAAAGCTGTGTTCTGTGATCATCATTAGTATTTTAAGTCTTCTTTGCTTTCAACAAGCAAGGTTGTATCATCTGCATATTGCAAGTTGTTAATGAGTCTTCCTCCAATTCTGATGCCACATTTTTCATATAATCCAGCTTTTTGAATTATTTGCTCAGCATGCAGATTGAATAAGTATGGTGAAAGAATACAACCCTGTTGCACACATTATCTAATTTTAAACCATTAGGTGTTCCCTTGTTCTGGTCAAACAACTGCCTCTTGGTCTATGTGTAGGTTCCTCATGAGCACAGTTAAGTGTTCCTGAGTGCTCATTCTCCACAAGGTCACCCATAGCTTGCATAGGTAAATATCTTTCTGGTATTCTCTGCTTTGAGCCAAGAGCCACCTGATGGCAGCAATGATATCCATTTTTCCATATCCTCTTCTAAATCTGACTTGAACCTCTGGAAGTTCTCTATCAATGTATGGTTGCAGCCATTTTTGCATTATCTTTAGTAAAACTTGATCTACGTGGGATATCATGATATTATCAGATGATTTCTGCATTCCATTGGATCACCTCTTTGGAATGGGCACAAATAGTGGATCTTTTCCAGTCAGTTGACCAGGTAACTGTCTTCCAAATTTCTTGGCATAGATGAGTGAGTGCCTCCAGTGCCACATCAGTTTGTTGAAAGATTTCAATTTATATTCTTTCTATTCCTGGTGCCTTGTTCTTTGTGAATGCCTTCAGTGCACCTTGAACTTTTTCCTTCAGGATCATTGTCTCTTGATCATATGCTCCCTCTTGAAATGGTTGAACAGCAACCATTTCTTTTTGGTACAGTAACTCTGTATTCCTTCCATCTTCTTTTGATGCTTTCTGCTTCATTGAATAGCTTACCCAGAGGTTCCTTCAGTGCCACAAGTCGAGGCTTGAATTTTTTCATCAGTTCCCTCAGCTTGAGAAATGCTGAGCATGTTCTTTTGGTTTTCTAACTCCAGGTCTTTGCATGTTTCATTACAATATTTGACTGTCTTCTCGAGCTGACCTTTGAAATTTTCTATTCAGCTTTTGTACCCCCTCACTTCCATTTGCTTTAGCATTTCTATGCTGGAGAGCAAGTTTCAAAGTCTGTTCTGACATCCATTTTTGTCTTTTCCTTCTCACCTTCCTAATGACCTTTTGCTTTTTTTTTAACGTATGATGTTTTAAATGCCATTTCACAACTCTTCTAGTCTTCAGTTTTTAGGACACACAGTTCCACCATAAGCCTCAACTTAAAGACTCTCAACTCTTGTTCTGTGAATCAGCAAACTTTATTCCCCCAATTAATTGCCTGGAGACACCCCACTCTGCAAACAAGCCTCCTGCCCTTAGTCATGCAGGCTTACTTGCTCCATGGACTAGGCAGCCCACCACTCTGTTTCATGCTCTGACTCATTGCATGCAGCTACTGCTGCTACTCTTCTTCCTCTGCCACTCCTCCAGTATAATTGCTTTTTGTCCCTAGGCTGAGGAGGTTCAGTGCACAGGGATCTCGGGGTCCAAAGAGCACGCTCTACTTGTGGTTTCTCTTCTTTGATGGTAGTGAGATACCCTCCTCCTACTTCTGAGATGGTTCATTTATACCCACATTAGACTTTGAAGTTTTTACAATTACAATTAACTCTGTTAACATCTACAGCTGAATCGTGTCTAATGATTATTATCTTCTCCTACCCTCTC